TTTCTGTTTCAGGCTAAATTCCGTAGGCAGCTTTACCAGCTGCCTTTACATTCTTGGTGGTGACAGCAACGATGATTCCTTGAGTCCCATTCAAACTGTAGAGAAGAAGAACCCAGTGAGTTGTTTCGCTTCTTTCTCAATATGCCTGGAATTTTGTTTTTCGATTTTCCTCCTGAGTTTCAGAACGGTAGTGCCAATGACGGCATTTCGCGATGGTCATCGTGCTTCTTTTGTGATCTCATGGGAGTCATTAACTGCGACGAGGCAGAATTCGAAATCTTCAACGCTGTCAAGGACCATGCCACTAACATGGTTTGTAATAAGTTCTAGTGCGAGGCGCAGTTCGGCTTGGTGGGGGCATTTTCCTTGTTTCCGATCATTGCTGATGTCTGTTGTGAAGATCTGTAAACTCTTGAAAAGCTATTGCTATAGTACTAGCTTCGCTTAGCGAGAGTACAGGTCTCATCAAGATGAGACGTGTAAGTCAAGGAGCTAGGGAACTAGTAGGAGAAACTAGCGAATTAGGTAGATGCCCCCCCCCTCTCTATGCCGAGCAGCCATCCGAGATTCTGAGGGCGTCTAAGCATTGGGAGACGTTGCGCGTTAGTTGTTCATATCATTCTGAACTGATTAGCTTGCTCAAGTTAACTGGAAATTTCGCGATCTTATGGGAGAACCTTCTTCAACAAGGTATCTGTCCTCAGTGCTTTACGATATCCTAATGATGGTATTGTCCGGATGGTGGGATATTTTGGCTTACTATATGTGTATCGGGTGGTTGAAAAACGAATAGAAATAAAAAAGTACTGATCTTTTTAATTTCTACTTTTTTACTTTTTCCTTCTAATGGAATTAAACGAGATTCTGAGGGCGTCGTCCGCGTTGATCGTGTGGGCGGAGATACCCAATAAACCTATACAGGCCTTCCAATCCTAGGTGAAGAAAGGTGGGCGGCCGATGTAGGAAGAGACGCGATGACTCGTCGTTTTCGTCCACATGATCTAGCGTTGCAACGCGCCTATAAAGAAACAAGGACGGTAACTCTGTTGGGAGATTGTTAAAACCGCCCGTCAGAAGCAGTCCTTCCGTATATAGCTGTAAATTTCGTAGAGTAAAATTAAGCAACTGTGTGGAGTGAACCAGGCATTTTAGGTGCAGGTAAAATTTATTGCCATTTTCCACACTACTGAGTTTTTCAGCCGAAGCTGTGCCAGATTCTCGCACCCTATGTTGTTAGCGATGGACAGTTCTGATGGGGAGGCAGCCATAAGTATACTTCTACAGTACGCCAGTCTTGTAGTAGAGTCAGGTAATTTTATTCACATTTGGCGTTACGGGTGTTGCAGATGATCTAGGTTGCGGTTAAAGGCAGTGGGTACGACTGCTAGGGCGGACGGTCGTCGCCAATGTCATTGATGGAAGGGCTATGTTGGGTGAGGCCAAATGCTCTCACGTAGCCCCTCCTGACGCTGACTGCAACACCCACCTCCAGCGATCCCTTGCCTTTGAACCAGTAAAAGTGGGGTTTCAAGTGGAATAACATGCACCGCATCCTCATGGGGATCCAACTGATCCACCCGTACTGCAGTATGTCTAGGAAGGTAGTAGTTTCTATGCCACAGGTTTTGGGGCATCCTGGATCTGATGCACGCACCCTGAGCCTTTCTTTTCTCGCTAGTCGAAGGAAAACAGTGCACGTTCTGTCGCTGGGGGTATTTTGCAGAATAAGACCGCACCTGCCAACCCCGAACTTCCTGATTTCCTCCACTGGTACGCCCTCTCCCCTCCCCCGAAGGGAGTTTCCTAACGAGTGGATAGCGCGCGTAAAACAGAAAAAAATCAGCTATAAAAAATTTCTGTTCCATCATGTACGATCTCCTCCCTCCACCGACCTAATACGACCCCAACTAGGGTTTTCCCAGCGTACAACGTGCCTTGAAAGACAATTTGAAGAATTTTTGCAGAAGTGGATGAATCCATGGAATCAGCTCGATGTAGAATGGCACGTTGCTTGGCGGAGTGCGTCGATGGTATTGGTTTGTATCGTCTCTCGCGTATCGCCCTAGATGGAAACCCTTATTTTGATGGAATGTGCTCTCTCGTTAAGTGCTGTCTACTTGGCGAACCTCCCGACGCATGCGTTTGCTGTGACAAACATACTTTATGATATGTGAGGAATTTCTTCTAAGGGGGTTAGGAGAGGGAAGTGTCCTCCGCTTCCTAATTCGGTAGTTGCAGGCTGATGGCAAAGGAGAACATGCGACATTTGGCAGCGTTGGATGGTAACAGAGTGGAAAATAAACAGTTTCTTGAGCTTCTCAAGGATACCTACTTAGCCCTCGGTTCAACAGCAGCACTCCGTTCTCTACCGATAAAGGTCCAGGTGCGTTAGTATAGTCAATCTGTAGTAGCTCTGAAGAAACTTGAAGATGCCTTTCACTACCCGTTTATGCATGGCGTGTGGCGGAGATAGGTCATTCCAATGCACCTTCTTCAATAACCATCCTCTTATCATCCTCGAAGTAGAGACGCATCTTTGAAGATGGAGCAATGGTTGATCGTCTCCGCCCACTCAATAAAGCGTGAACTGTGCCCATTACAATTTCTATTGTACATTCTGTACTCTATCTAAAGTACCACACGAAAGAACGGAAAGGAAGATACTCACGGTTTACAAACAAACTTCAGAATGACGACAAGATGCGTGTTTTGCTTTCCAAAGCTAGATTTGAGTGGTTGGACGTGATGTCAAATCCTGGGGCATCATACCAAGATCTGGTGGATGCTCATTGGTATTGGTGAGTTCGGTTTAGTTTTGATAACTCATCTTCACTTTGTGAGCTAATTTTTCAGTGGAGTTCATTACCGTGAACGCTGCAGAGAGCCTGAAATACGGCGTTAGCACTTCGCTAGGGGAAAAATGTTTACAGAATTTTCCAGCTATCGAAAAAGTAACTTCTCATGTCTTTTTCTTTTGCAAGGCTGTGAAAGGATGAGGTGTGGCTGTCGCAGTCGCAGATACTTATAGGATTTGCCTTTCCCGCTCGGCTCGAAAGCAGTTTTTTTGTAAGAAAACTGGAGCATTCCTCCGGAGCCGTGGTAGGAGGTTGTAAGAATTTAGCAAGATGCTAAGTGGGGGGGAGAATCGTATTAGGGGAGGGAATTTTAGGAAAGTTTGAGAGAGGTTCTATTTCCACGAAAATTTTGTCCAACGGTGGGACGTGCCCTGTTTTCAATGATATGTGCTATGACAATGCTTCATAAGTTTTGAGCTACTTTTTTCCTGCAGTCCTACAGAATACAACAGATGTTTAGTTATACCTCGTTGCTGCGCCAACGTACGTATAAAATAGCTTTTTTCGAATTCCGGGGAACGTCGATTTCGTCATGTAAATAAGGTTTATCGTTGCACGAGTATGATGCGGCAATAATGGCAAGTATATATGTGCAAATGTGCTCTCTGGCACTTGATATCATGAAAAACCGTAAATGAATTACAATTCACGAGATGGTTAACAAGAGATCCGTTAGCATGGCATAGTGTTTACATGTAAGAACAACTAACGAATTAATGAGCACCATAGCATGGAAGACATCGATACGTATTAATACTGCATAAGTAAGTGTAACATCGAAGTATGGGCGGTTATCTATGTACATAAGAACAGTATTCCCCGTTCTCCTACACCGGTGGATTTTCTGGATTGGATAGTCTCAGGTTGACAGCCGTTGGTTGAATATAGGCCTGAAAAGCTTTGAGGGATCTCCATCTTCCCATTTTCATTACTTGCGTAGTATCAAACCCTTGTTCTAGTGCAACCGTCGCGGCACCCCCTCGAAAGCTGTGAGTGGTATAGTTTTTGTGGCTCACGCCCGCAATGAGAAATATTTGCTGCCCAACCTTTTTAAGAAATGCGCTGATATGCTGAGGCGGTTGCTTTCTAGCTGCGACTTTGATGCGAAAAAGAAGCCATTTACTGCCTTTTTTGACGCTACTTATCTGTTTCTGTATAACCCGATGTTCCTCTGACTCTGGGTCTACAGTAAACGACGCAGTGGCTCCCCTTTTGACTTGATCAGTTTTGGATTTTCTGATAAATACTGAATTAGGCTACAATTTATGATTGTGAGCCGCTCCGTCTATATCGGAGGTGTATCTTGCCTCCGTATGACTTCTGAGAAACCCTCTAAACATCAAAATAGCCACAGTGACAGCAGAGAAAACTTTTTGGTCTTTGGATACAAAGCCTAAGTGCACCACTTTGATGTAGTCGTCCGTTGTATCTTATTCCTATGACTAACTGGGTCTCTATTTCTGCTGGCACTATCCAACAGCGACCTTTCTATTTCTTTGTCAGCCTCTCTTTGCTTCCCCAACAGGAAATTCAGAGCCGCTGCTATGCTGGGCAAGGAGCTATGTTGTTTGCTGTCGATACAGTGCGCAAGAAAAAAGTGCTTTCTTGCCCTTTGCGATCGGGGCCGATATCCTTGTAACACGTTCCTTTTCCCCACCACTTGCAAACGAATCTAGAACAGTTGCGAGTGAGTAAGGCCCTTGAATGTTGCGTTCGAACGATGACTATTAAGAGAAACTCTGATAGACTCTGCAACTCGAGGCAGTCCGCAGCTCCTCGCCATTTCGCACAGTTCGCCCGCTTCCCTCCATAGCGGTCCTGAAAACAACAATGGGTAGGGCGGGTGGGTGCCAACTCGTGTCGGCCAAGATTAAGCCCTGGAATGAGAAGGACATCGTAAACATCGATGTCCATACCGTACTTGTTATTCTCCAGGATCATGTGAGGACGTTGCGAAATACAGACGTCCTCACAAACACTGTATTTCAACAACAACCTATGACGAAAATCCCCCCCTCCCCCCCCCCTCTTCCATTCGCAAAAGCTAGCACTTAGGAAAGGTATAGCCAATCGTCTGAGGACACATGGGACAAGCGCGTCGTACTTCTCCGCTGCCGAGGGCGGCGCCGCGGACAATGGAGTGTGTCGTGTGTTGCGGTCGTTGGGAGAGAGGGGTATTGTATGTACCTTCAAGAGACAATGTACAATTTGCTGCGTTGGGAAAACATCTTTCCTGGTTGTTGATTTTTTGCCTAATTTTGTCCTGTTCCCATCGTGAGCTATGTGCCCCCTCCCTTCGCCCTCCCCAGCTCGGACGCGGAAATTCTACGGGCTTTGAAAAAGAATGCCGACAAAAAAACTGGAAAATTGGCAGTAAGTGTTAGGTAGGTTGCCTCGGGAGTGAGGTAGCGCGTACTGAGACCTCTTTTAGGCGTAAGGGCGAGGGGCGCGTCGTATGGCACACTCTCCTAGAGGCGGGGTCGTACCTACACCACCATTTCACACATCACGATGGTATACTCTAGTTATGAAGCTTACCCTTCTTTCTGAATGTTGCCAATAACGAGGAGAGATGAAAGATAACGGCATAAGAAGCAAAGCGAATGGAATGAGAGGTCGGTTTCAAAAAGAACCTCTAAAAGCGCTGAGTCAGATGGAACCGAAAGTGGAATAACTCGCGAAAAGGGGCATTGCCTGGAAGTCTCAAAGACACTTTCCACGTTAACCAAAAAGGCGGGGCTCGCAACTGTTGGTGTCCTTCTCATCGGCACACTCGCCTGTTTACCGTATTGCGAAGTAAGGGTGCACCAATAAGTAGAGCTGTAGGATTGTGGGTCTCAGCCCATCCGTTTATTGCGCAAGGTGTTTCTGGAAGAGTTGTAAAAGGAAGGCAATTGATGATTAGAGAACAATTAAGGTGAGCACTGAGTGAGACGCCGAGATATCCAGTCAAGCAGATCAGGCTACCATAGACCGTATTACAGATTTGGTTCCCACGAAGAGAGGCTGTTCTCTGTCTTGTATGTTGACGGTCGAAAGACTGCCTCGAAATTGAAGGAAATCCTTGATTATATAGAGTTGGTACAGTTACTTTCAGTGAGCTTTACGTGTTGTTTGTTAAGCTTTGCCGTCGGTTGAAA